TCATGTGAAGAAGGTAATGACCTGTTGAAGGTGTGCACACTCTGGCAGGAGGAAGATGAAGGTCAGGAGTTAACTCCGACTTCAAACAAAAAAAACAGAAGGTTGAAGCAGAAAGGAGCAGATTCCTAAATTGTTAGAAGACAGACTACTTGTTCTCTCCCCCCTTCTAAATCTTTTAATTTTTTTTTTACTTTTACTTCTCTTTCCTTCATTAATTTATATCGATTTTTTCACTTTCTTTCTAGTCTTTAGTATTAACTATACTAATTATATTAATAATAGTTAGCAACAGTAATAATAAAACTAAAATTGGTTGTGGGTTTTTCGGGCTCTTTGGTCATTTTCTGAAGGTTGTTCTTCCTAACGTTTCGCCAGTCTCTGTGGCTGGCATGTTCAGAGGACAGCACTCTGTGCTCTGGTGTAGTTGGCTTGGGAGTGGAGTATTTATGGCTGTGAGATGGGCTTTTGTCTTTTTCTGTGGATGGGTGATTAGTGTGTCTTGTTGTGGGTGTATTGTTGAATCACCCAGGTTCGTAATAAAAGTATTGCCCCAAAGGGTCCCATGCATATGGGGGTGCACTGTGTTTCAGATTGTATTAGTATTTTGTATTCTTGTATTTGTTTTGAAAATTTAAAAATTTTAAAAAATAAAATTACAAAGAATCCAAAATGACAGTCTAAATTGGCCACAGGTTTGTGACCTTTCAGCACTTGAACACTTTCCTGTTTTACAGCACAAGGATACACATATCTATGCAAACATGAGGAGCATTGAAGAAGAAAACAGTGTTTTGTTTATTTTTCATTTTGCTAAGCGTCTTTCCATATTTGAACCTCCACATGAAAGATTGTCAACCAAACCACACAAAAATGTAAAAATGTTTGCATATAGACTTTTGTAAAATTGCAATTTGATGTGGGAACAATTTGTATTGAACAAAGAAGGTGAAAAACCAAGAACAGTAATCAATGGATGTATCGGTTCTTACCATTAAATTCGGTGGGAGTTACATAGTTGTAAATCTGAAAGGATAGGATCCAAACTTAGAGTTATTAGCTCTTCTGTATTTTACCATACAAATAAAATCAAACAAGTGTTAGGAACAGCTTTAATGTCTCTAGATCTAGGAAGTAGTTGCTCTGTTTGAACCTGTTATATTAAACATAAAACATGTTACAGTGGACCCTCTACTTACGGAATTAATCCATATTGGAATGGTGGCTGCAGGTCGAAAAGTCTGTAGGTCGAGTCTCCATTGACCTACAATGCATTGAAAACTGATTAATCCGTAACCGGCTGTTTTTGTTCCGTTTTTGTTCCATTTTGGTTTTTTTCTGGTCTGTAGGTCGATTCTCCGGCTGAAAGTCGAACCTAAATTTTGCAGCCAGAGAAGTCTGTAACTCGAAAAGTCTGTAAGTCGAGCTGTCTGTAAGTCGAGGGTCCACTGTACTTGTTGCCATTTCTTAATACCCAATTTTCAAAATCACTTTTTAAAATTATTCAGCTGGTAGGTAAGTTAGATGACATCATGCTTTAGTTCTGATAGAAAAATGCACTGTTTGGTTTCTTTATGGTAAATTACAGGTGTTTTACAATGATCTTTAATCTTTGAAGGGCATTGAACTACTTACTATATCCAAATTAATGAATGCAATATGCTGTTCTGTTTCAGGGGCTCGGGAAACTGACTATCCTACAGGAGAAGAAGGGTCACAAGAAACAGACTCGGGTGTTGTGGATAAATCATCCCTGTCTGGCAGTATGAATAGCAACAGTTCCACAGAAACAGACAGTCTATTAGGAGGAATCACAGTAGTTGGTTGTACGGCAGAGGGTATTACAGGGCCTTCTGCTGTTCCCAGTGCCAACGGTGCCTCCCCTGATGTGAATAAACAGCCAGGTGTGAAATTATTTACCATTTTATTCAAAGTACATCTTTTGTCCCCTAGAATCACTAATACAGTACTGTATTAATTTTGGGTTTATTAACAAATATTGGTCATATTCCTCAAATGGGATTATTTATTCATTTAACATAAAGCCTAGTCTTCACTTAATGATCTCCAGCTGAGAAGCATAAGTATTAATAAAATACTGTAATGTAAAACCACAATTAAAAGCTCAGTTCCCACTAATTCCATCCTAGCTTCTCTACCAGGAGGAAATAGCATGGTTATACATTTCTTCCTCTTCCAGAAACTTATGTAAGAACATGTGTCTTGACAGACTACATATAGTGAGGCACCTCAAAGGGGTAGGATACTGCCCTGTGTTCCCTACCATACACAAAATGACACCAAGAAAGAGAAAATCCTGGAAGCTGAGTTATTTTTCATCAGTTAACTACTTCTCCCCCAAATACAAAGCAGTTCGCAGAGCTGTTTTTCGACAAGCAAGTTTGAATGAAATGGTGAAGCAAAGATGTGAGTAAATGTAGCACATGCAACAGAGAAACATGCACACCTTTTAATCTCTCAGGTAAACTAATGTTTTCATGTCTGCTCCACAGAATGCAGACTAGAAAGCTATGTTCCAAACCCTTATCTTAAGGTAGGCAGCCCGAAGAAGCTTACCTGTACTGGACCAAAAGCTCTCTGAACAAGTTGTGTGCATGTTTCCCAAGATATTGAAATAATAAAAAATGAAGTCTTGGAGTTAGCAAAGATTGTCACTGGAAACCAAGATCAAAATTACCCATACTATGTGAAAGAAAGACAGTGAAGATGGGACAAAGTCACCTTATTTGAAATGTGGTGTTGGAAGAGAGCCTTATAAGTACCACAGCCAGAAAGGCAGATAAGTAGGTGCTCACTCAAGTCAGGCCTTAACTCTCACCAGAGCCAAAATGAATAAACTGAGGCTTATTGCACCATGCATGTATCATGGGAATACAGAACTGACCAGAAAAGACAATATTGATGGGGAAAAGTGGGGGTAGTAGAGAAAGAAGAGAGAAAGTCCTAATATGAGGCAGATTGTCTCTATAAAGGAAGCCATAGCTGTTAGTTTGTAAGACCTGAGCAGAACTTACTGGAAAAGGGAATATTGCTAGAAGGGGGAGGGGCAATAGGAAGAGATAACAAGCTAATATGAGATGCTGTTAAGATTAAGAAGTTCAGATTGCCCCAGGCATGACACTGATTTCCTCGTTAAAAACTTGTATCAGGAGGCTGGTCTCAGTAAGTGAATGTTTACTGAAAACACTCAGGGCCGGGGCAAACACAACTGCTCTGTGCTTTTTTAATGCAGAAATACTTTGAATATGCCTTACAAAATTGTATGCTAATTCCCTGTACATGGCAAAATGTCCCCCTTTCTGAAGGATTGCCACTCCATTACTTTCTTTAAAGCAAGCCTGTGAGCTTTTATATTCTTTAAAAAAAAAACTCTCTTTGATTCTGTTTCTGTGACCTAAGCTCTTCAAATATCTCCCTTCCATGCACACAAAGCTGCAAAAAATGTATTTACTTTGCAAAATCTTTGCTGGTAAGCTTATTCCATGTGTGCTCCCTGTTTATGTCTTTTGAAAGGCCTTTTTTGAGGATATATATTCAGCTTCTACAGCCTGGATTTTTTTCCAAATACAGTGGTGCCTCGCAAGACGATGTTAATTCGTTCCGCGAAAATTGCTGTCTTGCGAAAACATCATCTTGCGAAATGCGGTTCCCCATTGGAATGCATTGAAATCTATTTAATGCGTTCCAATGGGGGAAAAATTGTCGTCTTGCGAAAATCGCCCATAGGAAAACCGTTTTGCGAAGCGCGGACCCAGCTGTCAAAATCGTCGTCTTGCGAAAAACCGTCCCCCCCCAAAAAAAAGTCTTGCAAAGCACAGACCGAAACATTGTCTAGTGAAAATCGCCCATAGGGAAAACTGTTTTGCACAACGCTATAGCGATCGCAAAAACCCGTTGTCTTGTGAATTAACCGTTTTGTGAGGTAATCGTCTAGCGAGGCACCACTGTAAAATAAATGGGTGGGGCCAAAATTTTTCTTTAAAAATAAATAAGATTGGTCTATTCAATTTACATGATCTGTTTGAAATCTGAGGACATTTAGGGTTGGCTGTTTCTGCAGACGGGTTTAAAACCGTTTTACCTTTTAGAAATCCTAACTTGAAAACCCAAAGCCCAAACTTCCCCAATTTTGGCACATAGCAAAAACAGTCTGTCTGCTACAACTGTGTGAAATCTGGTGCTGATCTGAAGCCCAATTTAAAAAAAATTGTTTTGGCTGCCCCCATTCTTTAAACTGCTCTCCCAACAGAAGAACATTGCTGCACTCTAATGCAGCAATAATTTTAGAAGAAGCTGCTGAGTGACTGACAAATATGAATGCATGGATGCTTCCTATAAGAGAGATCATCATGCATGATTAATACATGATTTGTAATACATAATTTACCTGCAGATGTCACAACTGAAAATGGTGCAGTAGATGAGAATGTTCAGACAGCAGAGGAAGCGACAGAGGCAACGGAAGTCAATGCAGGCTCGGGAGAAGAAGTTGTAGATACTGCACAATCTGGAGTTTACACTGAGCACGTCTTTACAGATCCTTTGGGAGTTCAAGATACTGTAGAGGGTTCTCCAGCATTCCAGCCTAGGTAAGATCAAATCTATGCGACAGTGAGCTCCTGTCGCTTCTCTCAGCTCCTGCCAACCCATCAGTTCGAAAGCATGCAAATGCGAGTAGATAAATAGGGACCACCTCGGTGGGAAGGTAATGGCATTCCATGTGTCGCCGGCTGGCCACATGACCATAGAAACTGTCTTCAGACAAACGCTGGCTCTACGGCTTGGAATCGGGGATGAGCACCGCACCCTAGAGTCAGACACAACTGGACTAAATGTCAAGGGGAACCTTTACCTTTACCTACCCAGTTCAAAAGCTTCTTCGAAGTACCCTTTTGCCCAGGATTCCCATGGAATACACAACTAAGCTTGGGGCTTAAGTAGAGTCTCCAGTCAAACAAAAGAAAGCCTTTTCAGGAGACTGAGAGACAGAAATGTAATAGGGAGATGGGTATGGAACTTGACCTAAGGTTAGGACTGTCACTTAGTGGCTGATAGGGATCTTGTTTACTGAAATAATTGTATTTCTTTATCTTTAACGCCTGTAGCTAAGGTTACCCTTGCCTGAAAATCCTTAAATGTAGTCTTTGCCATTTGTAAGCTTTTCAAGCCTTTTCTTTAGTGCTTTGCTTTTTTCTGTACATAAAGTCATTTCTTGTAGAAATTGAGGTTTCTAATTTCTTGAAGAGCTATCTTTAAACCAATCCGGAAAGCCAAGATGCTCAAGCCTACTTTACCAGAGTAGTTGTTTTCATAGAGCCTGGGCAAAGTGCAAATGGTCTTACACCAACGTTTCTAGCCCATGTCAGGTGAAACTGATCCCATTTTAAGGGGTGGCAGGGAATAGAGGAAAATGAGATTTTCCTGTGGGGTAGAAAGGGGCTGCTGGGTTGCCTTCTCCTCAGCTGTAAATATGACCCAGATCCCAGCAAAAATCTTGACCAAGTGGGGTAATGTGTTTGTTTCATAACTAAACCACATACTGTACTGTACACAAACATATCTAATATGTTCTCATAATGTGCCTGCTAAAGATTACATTTGAATACCATTTGTTTATTTTTTTTAAAAAAAGAACTTTCTGCCTCTTTCAGTAATGAATCAGATTTGTACAAAGATGTTGCTGTATTGCCAAATGAACAGGATCTTGTAAGAGAAGAAGCCCAGAAAATGAGCAGCCTTCTACCTACTATGTGGCTTGGAGCACAGAATGGATGGTAAAGCAGGAGTGTTAATTCCCAATTTGTTTTTTCTCTCTCATAGAAATGCTTTGGTAATTGAGTCTCTTTCTCTAAGACTGGTAAATATCCAGCTTGAAAAGGAAATATCAGTATTCTTTCCTGAATTCTATGGTTTCCATAGTTGGTTAACTTAAATTGGGATTTATTATTAGTCACTTGCAGTGTTGACAGCTAGTGGTTTGTACATCCATCCAGTGATGTGGAGACTCAACTAAAGGTTGGCATTTGAAAGTGACATTTGGAAAAGAGGTTTTACTTAGAACCACAGAGCTGGAAGAGATCCCAAGGGCCCAACCCCTGACAAAACAGAAAATCCATAACTAAAGCATCTCTGACAGGTGACCATCCAATCTGTGTTTAAAGATCCTCATTGGAAAACCCACCAGCCTCCAAGGCAGTCCATTCCACTGTCAAACAGCTTTTACTGTCAAGAAGTTCTTAACATGTAATCAGAATTTCATTTCTTGTAATGTGAATCCATTGATTTGAGCCCTGTCCTTTGGAACAATGGAAAATAAACTTGCTCCATCTTTTATGTTACCTCTCAGTCTTTTGAGCACGGCTATCATATCAGCTTTCAGCCTTTCTTTTACATTAAGCCATTCTTTATAGGGCTTGGTTGGCAGATATTTACCATCTTGGTCATCCTCCCCTAGGTATGTTCTCATTGGTTGATATCCTCCTTACACTATGGTGCCCAGAACTGGACAATGTTCCAGGTGAGGTCTGGCCAAAGGAGAATAGAGTGATTCCTTTGATATGGATATAGTAGCCCATCGATGCAATGTTTTTCATCTTTCCCCTTCAAGAGCACTCAGAGAGTAATGGTAGGGTACTGTCTGTCCCTGGGAATTGTTATGTAGAGTCCCACAGGGTTTTGTTTTAGCTATAGTGCTCTTCAGATCATATACAAGACCACTGTCAGAGATCATCCATGGCTTTGGAGTTGGGTGCCATCAATATTCTGATGAGACCCAGCTATAGCTTACATTAACTAAGCAGTTAGAGGTAGCTGTGACAGTGTTTAGTTATTGGTTGGAGGCTATGGTCAGGTGGCCAAAGGACAACCAAAAGAAGCTGAATCCAAGCAAGGAGGTGACTCTGGTCACTCGACAACTGACAAATTTGCCTGTCAATTTTCTAATGATTGATGGAGAAAAAAACCCATTTGTGAACCAAGTAAGGAGTTTGGCTGTTTTATTAGATCCAGCACTCCTCCTGGAGAAACATGTGTCTAATAAATAAAATAAAATAAGTAATAAATGTAACAATTCCACGTGCGATGGAATTCCGTTAACAATGGTGTTCTGTTACCCATGGATGGATGGAGTGATTGTGCTTAGTTTTGCTTAACTGAAATCTAAGAAATCATAATTTTCTTTTTCTCATGCGGCTCACAGTGTGCTTTACTGTATCTAAAACCAAAGCCTTAACAAGTATTTTTGTTTGGCTTCTGCCAAAAAGCCAAATAAGTAAATAATTTTTTAAAATCCAATATATTGATGTAAGAAGACTACAGTTCCCAAGTCAAGAATTTCTTTATACACTGAAGACAGTGTATATGTTACTGAAGGGGATGTTAAACAATACCATTGTGCTTTCTATCACACAAATAACATTTGAACGTAAGTAAATAAAATAATCATTAATAACATGTATTGCTAAATAACAATAAATTTGCAAAGTTTACTGTGACAAAACTGCAGTCTGTGAGGGAACTGCGCTTGGCAAGCTGAAATATATCAGAGTGATACTGCATTGTTTAAATGAATAGATAAGCATTACTTCATTTAATTTACTCTGGCCAGTATCCTGCTGAGTTACATAACCACTGAAGGATGAGCGCAGAAGCATTCCCTCCACTCTAGCAGGCTCCCCTTTGTGAGGTCTTGTATTGATTATGAAATTGGATGCACAAGTGGTTGTGTGATCAGTTGCTCAAGTGGGGCCTCACTAGAACAGGAAACCTTACATGATTACCCTCATACTCTGTGGATGTTGGTCTATATATTCCCAGCCCCAAAGGAACATTGTGTTTCAATAGAAGGCGGTGGGGGTGGGGATGCTTGCAAGATTGGGGGACACATTCCAGTCTACACCACCAGATATCAGATCTGAAACTTGGCTGTGAATGTATAATCATCCTTGGTGATTTCCCCCTCATTCCACTTGCTATACATTCTCTTTGTAAATCTGAATACAGTGGTGCCTCGCTTTAAAGGCACCCCCTTTAACGACGAATCTGCATAGCAATTAAGTTTTTGTGATTGCATTGCAATGATTTAGATAGGAAAAAATCGTTTTGCGATGATTGGTAAGCTATTTCGCTTACCGATTTTCGCATAGCGATGTTTTCCTAACAGCTGATCGGTGGTTCCAAAATGGCCGCCGGGTAAATAAAATGGCCGCCCGCTGTGTTTTCGTGCCGATTCCTCACTTACCGGGCAGCGAAAATGGCAGCCGTATGGAGGATTTCCGCATAACGATGAGTTTTTTGCCCATAGGAACGCATTAAACGGGTTTTAATGTATTCCTATGGGCTTTTTTATTTTGTATAGCGATGAAGCCCACATAGCGACGATTTTTCTGGAACGGATTATCGTCGCTATGCGGGGCACCACTGTACTGTTAATAACTGGATCCCTCTGTTTTTAAGATACTTTAGGAAAATGAAATTCATTGCATTTCAGACCTAAACCACCAGAGGGTAGCACAAAATACATAAGGATTCTGGAGCCTGAAACTATAAGAAAAACATAAGACTGGAGCCAGGTTTATCTCCTTATGGAGTCCTCTATAATCAGGGCATAATAACTGAAATGGCCCTACTCCTGGTTGTCTCCTACCTGACCTCTAATAAGCAGCACCAAAGGAATGTTTTTTAAGACCAACCCTGACACATAGATGGATGGATATAGGAGGGAGATGGTTCCCAAGTCCTGAACCTGAGAACACTGTAAAAGCAAACTCTGTCTTGACTTTAAGGAACCATCAAGCCTTTAAAAAAAGGATAAGATCCTGAGAAAGGGCATCTATAAAGCTGAAAATGATTAGATAATGTCAGTGAAATCTAAAGCTGACCAGACAAAACATAAGTAGTTAAGCAAACTTATGGCCTGTTTTCTGTTGCAATGTTTTCGTTATGCTAATAGCATGAAATTACTGTAAATGAAACATAGATTTAGAGTTTTGGATTTAATTCATTCTGATTTTATCGTTGCAGTTTGTATGTTCATTCTTCAGTGGCTCAGTGGCGAAAATGTGTCCATGCAATTAAACTTAAAGATTCTATCCTCAGTATAGTGTAAGTTGAAATAATATTAACATATTTCCATAACATTATTTGCATGAGAATTAATTGGATTTTTGCTGAATGAAAAATAATTAGGTTTAAAAATACTTTTTGTTAACTCCTGGTATTTTTGTAAGAGAGTGTTGAGTTAGAATTAAATCACAAAGCAAATCAAAAGGGACATCTTTATTTCTAATTATTGAAGTGTTATGAAGTTCTCTTAGTAGCCAAGATTTTACATCCCCTGAGAGTTAATGAGGGAAAGTGTACAAGCCGTTTTTCTTATAATCTTTACTGAACAGTATTCCTCTTTTAGTGGGGAAGTTTTGCTATAGAAGAAAGGACTGACCCCTCCCCCCACAAGCTCAGTGGCAAACTAGAACTATAAGAAACCTGAAGTTGTTGATTTTACAAATTTTATCCTCAGTATAGTGTAAGTTGAAATACACTATACAACTTGTGATGAGCCATTAACTCCAGAAACCTACCCCTATACTCTCTGAAGTTAGCCATCAATGGTCTAAACAATACAGTAGCTTAATGCTGAGGAACACAGAATTTTTGTTAGTGACTGAAACATATTGTGTTACAAAACTGGAAGTGCAAAAGATTCTACCACAATACAGGATTGGACTGGAGTTCTTCTATGAAATTGATGAAATTGTTTTCGTTCTTCAAAATTCTGGGCACCCAGAATAAACCTGATTAAATACGATAGTCATTCCATTTGTGGATGTTCTAACTAATGGAATAATTTAAATAGACTCTCATTTTCGATGCCCTTAGACAGTGGGCATGCATTGTGGTTTCCTAATTTAGTGGGGCAGTTTTGCTAAAGAGAGAGATTTTGAGAGAGAGGGGTGGGGGTTACTGCCAACTCTCTTCCAAACCAAAATTATTAGAAACCAGAGATTTATTTATTTATTTATTTATTTAATTTCTATGCCGCCCTATCTACCCAGACGTCTCTGGGCGGCTCACAACAATTAAAGTTCAATACAATAAAAGATAAAATAATTAAAATACAATTAAAATTGCCAGCATCAGGACCCACAGTTGATGTTATTTCAATTAAAAGCCTTCTGGAACAGGAAGGTTTTGCACTGCCACCGAAATGTCATCAACGTCGGCGCCAGACGAATTTCAGTTGGGAGGGCATTCCATAGTCTGGGGGCAGCTGCCGAGAAGGCCCTTTGTCTACAAGCCATCCCTCTTACCTTCTTGAGGGATGGCTCTTTCAAAAAGGCCTCCTGGCTAGATCTTAACTGCCGGGTAGGCTCATATGGAAGGAGGCGGTCCTTCAAGTATCCAGGGCCCAAGCCGTTTAGGGCTTTATACGTCAAAACAAGCACTTTGAATTGGGCTCGGGCAGCAACTGGTTGTTACCTATTATGATCATGAATGAGTGAATGGTAGACCTCCAGATATTGGACTTATTAGGGTTCATAAAGTTTCAGTGCAGCCAAATTTGAAAGAGCATGAGACACAAGATTCCAGTTTCCACTCCAGGGGAGAATGGGCACTGGGGTGGTTTGTGTATGGTGTCAAGAAGAAGAAAAAAAATGGTACAGCAGTCTGTGTCTGTGTTCCCAATTTTCTCATACTATGTATCTTGCCTCTTTCTCTCATGTAGACATGTAAAAGGAATAGTATTAGTTGCACTAGCAGATGGAACTTTAGCAATATTTCATAGAGGAGTTGGTAAGTATGCTTCCAGGACAACTGTCATGTATCTGTATCTTGGCTCTGTTTATTACAAGCTTTAATTTTTTTCCAGAGGTTGCCTACTATAGGAAATCTTGTAATTCTTGAGATTTTATTGTTAAATCATCTCATGTTGTCTTCACACAAGTTTCCTGTTTCTTCCTGAAGAGCCCTTTTTGGCTGCATGTTATTGAGAGGGCTGTATTTCTTTTGTTCTCCGTCACCTTTTTGTTCTTCCTCAAAATGGGTCTGCAGATCTATTGTAGACCTTCACACTAGGAGTGCTATGGTGCTGTTTTCTGCTGCCCTGAAAGCTGATGATTAGCCTGGAGATCCTCCTTTCAGGAGCTGCCGTGCTCCAAAGAGCTTGTCGAAGGAAGATTGAATGTGATCTCCTTTATTTTGTTTTCCCTATATTTGAACGTTTATCTTATAAGTCACCCTGATTTGTAAACCTAACTATTCAGTGCTCTGTAGGCACCACTTCTGTTTGGGGTTCATATTGCCAATTCACATAGTTGAGTAATGGTGTCCAATACAGTACTTGATCACATTTCTTGATAGTAAAGTATGTGTTTGATTCTTTATGTAATTAAAAAAATTGAGTGAGATAAAAATAAGCAGATATTATGCTACAGTAGTGGATTGCTTATATTGGCACAGTATTAGACTGGATAACATTTTCGACAACTTCCAACTATTATTATGAATGTGTGTCGTAAACAAGACAGCAGTTGAAAAAACTCATGTAGGAGCATGTCAGTATATAACTTGCAATGACTGTATGTTCTGACCCCTCTATTTTCTCTTTTTTTAAAAGATGGGCAGTGGGATTTGACAAACTATCACCTTTTAGACCTGGGCCGGCCTCATCATTCAATCCGGTGCATGACTGTGGTGCATGATAAAGTCTGGTGTGGCTATCGAAACAAAATCTATGTGGTTCAGCCTAAAGCCATGAAAATAGAGGCAAGTTAAAATAAGCCTTTCTTAAGACTAAATAAAGAAGAGGATGTCAATTTTAAATGCGTTGGAATTGTTTTTATACTTTAAAAAAATCTCAATGTATGTTTAATTGTTTTTTAAAATGTGATATTTATATATTGTTTTTAATTTGTTGTTTGTTGCGAGCTGCTGTGGATCCCCTATGGGGAAAAAGAACCATATAAGTAATTTAAATGAATGTATGAATGAATGAATGAATGTTCTCTCTATCCTGTTGAAGCTAGAAGATTGGCAAAAATACCATTAACTACTTGTCTGTAAATAGATTTTAAGTGTATATACCCAGGTATCCCTGGACATACTCGTAAATAATAATAAAAAAAACTTTATTATGGTCAAAAGACCAGCCACATCCCTGTAAATAGTTGTAAACAAATATCTATGCATAACTATTTTAGTAAAATAATAATCAGGTTCATTTATCTGTGAAACATGGCACTGCTTCTTAAATTCCTAGACAGGCTTCCTCTCTCTTCTCTCCAGGCCTCTTTCCTTCCTTTCAAAGGCCTTCTCGCTCCTCTAGTTTCTGCTCTCCTCCACCATCTGAAGATTTCGCACTCCTTCCAAATGCTGCCCTCTGTGTCTCCCTTTTGCCATCCTAGAAGCTTGAAACTGACCTTAGAAAACCTGAGCATTCCACTGTCTCTCAAATCCATCTTTAAAATTCTTCTTTCTGGATTCTTCCGTTCAGTGTTCTAATTCCCACATTGTAGTATAAACTTAGGCAATAATTAGATCTGAGAGTGGAAAACTTCCTAATTCTTCTTCTGTTTCCATGTCTTGTGGTGAACTTTAGATAAGTTCCTTGGGGTCAGAGACTTTTATTCATTAAAGTACCATGGCACACTGATAATACAAGATCTCACAAGCTGTTTCCATCTTCCCACTCTCCAAACAAATGTGTCTATCCTGATGAGCAGGGAAATTTGGAAAAGCTATAATCAGCAGAGCACCAGAAAAGATTTTGTTACCCATCACCCTAAACAGGTAGGATGATGGATCTTCAGGGTAGTGGATGCAAAAGGAAGGAAGAATGGACAGGCAGAAGGGCCATTATGGTACCTGCTGCCTCAAATGTAAATGGGACAGGGGTAAATATTTTATTCTGGAGCATTAACCAAGCCATAATTTGTTTCAGAAATCATTTGATGCACACCCAAGAAAGGAAAGCCAGGTGAGACAACTGGCTTGGATAGGAGATGGTGTGTGGGTATCCATTCGATTAGATTCCACTCTCCGCCTTTATCATGCACATACTTACCAGCATCTGCAAGATGTTGACATTGAGCCCTATGTAAGCAAAATGCTAGGTAAGTTGTTTGGTGTTGTCTTCAGTGTATGAGAAGAAAAATAACTGTGTGAGTAGCATTGCTGTTTCAAAAAACACTGTCTGAATATATTTATTTTAGACAAAGAATGACACCAAGTACCATTTATAAAACTCAACATTATATCTAGTTTTATGTACAGATTCTAAGGAAAAGGAGGGTAATAAAACCCACAAGAAGCGTTTCTGGCTATCATCATAGAATACTATGAGAGTGACAAAGACTTTTTCATCTTTTGACATTTGGAAATACTCTCATTGGTTGAGTGGGGAGAAATATAATTTTCCTCTTGATTTTGAAGATTATCTCTTCATTTCTTAACTTCAGTCTTTACAAAAAGAAGCCCTTTTCTGGTTGCCAGGTTGAAGGTTCTCAAAATCTGTTTTAATTCAGTCAGGGAATATAGACAATCTTATATTAAAACAAACACATAATGAGCACTATAGATGTTTTTACAGTTATAAATCTGCTTTGCAAGAGGATTCTAGTACGGATTTTATGCAGTGACATAAAATAAAGTGTGTTGTCCTAGTGAAACCTTGGACAAGCACACAGCAGTCTAATGAAGTCTAGCATAGAGGTTTATCACATTGAGCATAAAGAAGTGTACATAATTTATATCCCATAATTTATGGGAAATTTATGCATTAAGTAGGTGCAATCAAACTAAAAAAATTGTATTGCTAATCCTGCATTGTTCAGTTAACTTGTGCAGTTCTATACATTTACATCTGACTATTGTGAAGTAAAATACATTTGATGCAACTTATGCTTGTGAGACTCCAATCCTGTTGCGGAAATGCAGAGCATAATATCTTCATGCAAAAATAAGCATTGTTTGCACCACTAATGACACAGATGTCCCTGGACTAAAACAGTAGGCTTCACCACTAGCTGTGCTGGCCAGGATTTCTGAGAGTTGTAGGCCAAGAAATCCTGGCCTATCTACTGCTAGACAGAACTTTTGTAGTTCTGTAGACAGAACTTTTTCCCCACAGGGACTCTGGATCCAAGTCATGATGTCTGCTCAGTCCCAAAATCAGGTTATGAGATCTCATGATTGTGTCATTAGTAGTCAACTCTGTGAAGTAAAGGGACAGCTTGAACCCAACTACCTTTTTTTAAAAATTGCTTTGGCGTTTTAGAAACCACACTCTTTAAAATAAGGAATAGTTTCCAAATCTCTGCGTATAGACATGTGCGAATGTACGAAACTGACTGATTTACACTGTAAAAACTTATATATTTCAGAATAAAATTAAACATAGAGCTTTTCTGTATTCTGTACAAGCATTTACATTTTAATTTCTAATTAATGTTGCTCATTCCAGGTACCGGAAAACTGGGATTTTCATTTGTGAGAATCACAGCTCTTATGGTATCCTGTAATCGGTTGTGGGTTGGAACAGGAAATGGTGTCATCATCTCTATACCATTAACAGAAAGTAAGTTCTGTAAGACCAAAGGTGTTAGACAAGAACGACAACAGCTTTGTATCAAATACGAACTCAATTGTAGTCTAGTGTTTGCTGTTTTCCAGTAATATATGCCGTTTCAAGATTTTAGTATAGTCTAAATCTAGCTGTTTCAGAGGGACTCTTCTGGCTGGCAGCTTCTCACATATACAGAATGGCAAATCTGACAGATGCAAAAATATAGAACTGTAGGTTTTGCTTCCAAGACGTTCAGCATCTTGGCAGCTGGATTCTTGGCAGCTGCATGTTTACTTGGAGGAAAAGGGGAATCAATGGATTCAATGAACGTCTTTCTAACTATATGTGTGTAGGATTTCAGTGTTAAATCTTCAATATGACAATTGGGCCCCAAGAGTGCATTCAGAGTTTGAATATTTAAACTGTTGCAAGCCATGATACTAAACATGTAATTAGAAAGAGCTTTTAATTAAACAGTAAGCAGATGCAGTAATTCAGGAAGAGGCTACCCCCCTGACTTCTGTCCACGTCACTTCTTCCTTTACAGTAGCCCCATATTGTAATGTTCTTCCTTTCCTCCCTGTTTCCTGTCAATCTTTGATAACCCCTACAGAGAATCACTCTCTCCCCTCTGACTCCCATAGTTCCAAGGAAAATATTTAGGGGAAAAAGATGTAAAGAGGTAATAGTTTCTGTCCTGAGCACTTGAATGTTAATTTTATTTTTATAACATTATTTTCTTGAATCACCTTAAATACCTTGACAGTTATCAATAGTATTATGAAGATCTATTTGTTTAATTTCCAATGTGCTTTGTTACATTAATCTTGCCCAAACACTTCATTTGGGGCTTCTATATTTCAATTAACTAATATAATGCAATTTAAATCTGTATGGATTCTTGTCACTGGGCTGAGGTCACATAACTTTCTCATATTTCATATTTGGCAGCATGGTGAGGTTGATCATTGTGTGGTGTTGTAAAATATTAAATATCTGAAACATGATGCGTTCTTTCTTATTAATTGCTTTGAACACCATGTGCATTGTTTTTCATGTGTCATTGATCATTGATCATCCATTAAATGTCTGGTTTTGAGTTGCATATGTGTATTCAGTTAAGACAAAGACTTCAAATCATAATAGGCTTTAAATAGTAGAACTGATTCTGAAGATTATCTTTATTCACCTTAGGCACTCTTCCTAGATTCCCCCTGATGTAAAAAATATTATTTTAAGCAGTGAGGGAAAGAGCTGGATTTTTTTCTCATGTTTCTACTGGGCTTTCCCCCTCTGGGGAAAAAGGTGGCAAATAAATAAATTAAATAAATAAAATAAAGCAGGCCTGGATTTGTAGAAATTGCTGAGCTGGGAAATTATGTCTTACTTATTGTCCCCAGGTATCTCAGCAGCCAGTGATTGAGACACCACTGTTAATGGGAAGTTAGTATTTTCATGTAGAATAGGAACAGACAAAATATAGCCCTCTTCCCCGGGAGCTGTTGGACTGCAGGTCCCATTAAGCCTAGCCAGCACAAAGGATGGTGAGTGATCCTGGGAGCTGCACTTGAATGCCATCTAAAAAAACCATGCTCTGATTTCCCTTCTGTGGAATGTCTTCTGGTTTTTCTGATGATAATACCTGTAACATTACCCTTATCATCTAGAAGGTGTAAGTAGCTTGGAGGAACAGCATAGAACTAGGTAAGTAAGGATTGGGGAAAGTGATGGAAGAAAGGAAGTTCTGGATGATGATGGCTCTTTACTTGAGATACCATTCACTGCTGTTCTGAAGAACAAAATGCAAGCTTCAGAAAAGCTGAATGCTGGGGTCCTGCTCATCAGCAGACATGCTAAGACTGGATGGCTAATGCTCATACTCTTAGGACCATTGGAGGTGTGAGTGGAGGAGGAGATGACAGCTTTATTTCTGTGAACGAGTAGTGTCCCTGAGAAAGAAAAGAGAGAAAGGGGAAACAAGTTTGCTGACACATCACAATCTTAAGGTTGCTGCTTTCTATGCCAACAAGTGGGGAAAAATTGTAATATTTTATTGTACCTTCTATAGTTAGGTGCTAAAATATCAAGTACCAGAGCGCAAGTGGTGGGTTCTCATTAATCCTTCTCCTCTGCTGTCACACCTATCCATTTCCCCCTTTCCTCCTTTCTTACTTTAGCTGTAATCCTCCACCAGGGACGTTTACTGGGGCTGAGGGGTAAGTGCTGATCCCAAACGGAAAAAGTTCTGTATTCTCAGGCTTCTCTAATAGCCACTTAAAGGCTGTTCCCCACTTTGCTAAAATTTACCCACCCACCCCCCGTATGTTCCTAAACTGTTCTTCCACTTGAAGTTACCTGCATTGCAGTATTTTATGTTTGCTAAATGACCACCAATCCTGCTCCGCAGTTTAGTGCCTTCATCTTTTGTTGCAGCTGAACTTTTCATGCCAGCTTCTTGTTTTACTTCCAGCACCATCTGTGATACCATAACCTTGTAATTGTCATTAATCACATCATTTTTCTCCTGTTCCAAAATGTTTCTTTCCTTCCTCTGATACTGTTCAAAATGGAGATAGTTTTGTGTGTCTAGCATACAACATTTCAAGATGCTTTGTAGCTTTTGAAATCAGTATACAGCTCTCCTGAGTCTACCAGTGAAATACAGCTCCTCAGAATCAACCAGTGGCTGATGATTGCCTTTCCCTCCCACCCACGCCCTTAATTGTGTCTTGGCTTCAAGAGATCCAAATGACCCTGGAAGGCTTCCTTTTAAAAACAGTCTTGTAGCACTGTAAATGTAGGACTCAATTATTGCAATGTAAATGTTTGCTAATATGTCGATGAATTATAACATCACAGTAAACGTGTTTTTAAGGTGACCAAGAAATCTTTGCTTACTACAATAAACTAGCATGGCTTTCCCTGACATTGTTGGGTTTGTTTCTTTTGAAAAATTATTAATGTAATTTGTGATGTAAAATGTTGAGTGTTTGTGTATTTAATTTATTTGATCAGTTTGTGTTTTGAATATGGAAGAGGTCTTTTCTACATCCTTTTTGCATGAATGTAAATTTTCAGCAAGGGGGAGAGGGATTAAAAGGTACAGTTATGCTAGACTAGCAACCTACTCCATTTCTTCTTCAGGTATTTCAAATAACTACGCATGCTATCCTTTATTCTCTTCCAGCTTTGTCTTGAATTGGCATTTTGTTGCCCCTTCTATTTCATTCCTCTAAGTCGGCTTTAGCTTATGGATTGGTCCCATGAGGGTTGTTAATAAATGACCATTGTACTACCAGCAATTTCAGGTGCAACATATTTTCTTTCTCTCTGTGTAGCTAACAAAGCAGCAGCGGGCTCCGGCAACCGTCCAGGCAGTGTGATACGTGTATATGGTGATGAAAACAGTGACAAAGTGACACCTGGAACGTTCATACCTTATTGTTCGATGGCACATGCACAGCTTTGTTTTCATGGGCATCGTGATGCTGTCAAATTCTTTGTTGCAGTGCCTGGTAAGATTTATTTGTAACTCTACTTCTCCAAGTATAACTCCAGTCATCTTCAGCCATTGTTGTCAAATTGGGTTGTGCTCACTGCGGATTATAAATGTTATAGTCCAAGAAATCTAGAAGAGATCAGTTTGGAGAAGCTGTCATGAAAGATTTGTCATTGATCCTGTTGAAAAAGATAAGAATTGTTTTCCTTTTGTTTTAGTACCTGTTTGAAATGAGGGACATACTCTTTTGTCAGCCAAATCTGAAGTGAATAAACAAACAAATGGAAACAGCAATGTGTTTTGAAGAAGAGACATCAGCTAAATTTGCTAGTGTCCTTCTCTTTTATGCTGACAGTCTTGCTCCCAGCCATGACATGCTCTGAGGATGAGATGAAATGTTTATCTCGTGATCACTTTAAAGCTGTTGATCCTGCATATAGATCTTGATATCATTGCCCTTCTTGTAATGACTTCTTCTGTCATATGTCACGCCCGTCCTTTTATTTCCCATCCCTTCAGCAGAAGTTCCTGCACAACACTTTCCCACTTAAAAGATTTTCAGTTAAAAGATTTTCACAAGGAGAATGTCATGCGACATGCTATCTCTAGTGCCTCTTCCAGACTGGATATCTACTGTCAGTTTCTTACTGGTGCTTCAAATGGACTGTTATATAGAGCCAGAAGGGTGTTACTCACTGAACAAAACGTGTTAGCTCTCTATGGTTGACAAAAGGCACTGCCACTTACTTTAGATAAGACAACAAGTGAGAGGACAGATTGGTGTTGGCAAGCAGTGCAATTAAAGGGGAGGTCAAGTGTAGTGAAGCTGAGAGGAGAGTAGGTTGAATTATTCTGAAAGAGCTTCAGGAATGCCAAAAGAGGCCAAAGTAGTGGCTGGAAGGGGCTTCCAGGCTTGGGCCTGCTTAAAGTAGTAGATTGTGAGCTCTGTGTATATGCAGCAGAACATCTTGAGTCTCATTCTGTTAGAACCACTGTGACTCGTGATTGCTGCCAAAAAATCAAAAGGTGGCTGCCGGAGGCCCAGTAAAAACTGCTCCCAGGAAAAGGGAGAAATCCCAATGTGTATAAACCCATTGCACTATAATTGCAGCCACAGGGAGCACAGCAGAAAGTAAAGAAGTGGAAGTCTAGGAATAGTTGAGGTCCAAGGGCAGAAGACTTTGGATATGAAGAACAAGCAGGGAGTGTTATACTTGGGTGGGAAGGAAAGACAATACTGCAGAATAGGGGTAGGGATTGTTGCCCTTCTAGAAACTGATGAACAGCTGCACGCACCATATTTCACCAGGTATGATGAGCAGGGATTGGGGGATTGAAGATTGGGCAGTAGGTTTCCTGTGCATTTTACATAAAATATTGAGTAAGAACTAAAAGCTTGATACTCATGGCCAGAGTCACCACAGCTTGTAGTTGGCAAGCTTCATATAGATGCTCTCAATCAGTGGAAAGGTCCATAAGGAGGAGATTACAGAAGTCTAGACAGTGGCTAGAGCAGTGATGGTGAACCTATGGCACGTGTGCTCAGCTGGCATGTGGAGCCCTCTCTGTGGGTACGCTAGTCAAGTCTCCATTGAGAAATACTTACCTTATCGAGCCCTCTCTGTGGGTACGCAAGTCAAGTCTCCATTGAGAAATACTTACCTGTCCTACAATCCCAGATTTCGGGAAGAAGTGTTGGGAAGGGAGGGAGAGCCAAGACATCAATGGCTGCTGTGCCCCCCCCCCGGCATGGAAACACCCAGCTCCTGCCGCCCGCACCTTTAAGGATTGCAGCCGGAGGCAGAGCGGGGAGTGTCCCGGACAGGCACTGGAGGTTGTGCAGCCAGAGGAGTGGGACTCTTCGGGACGGCCATTGTTGGTTTTGTGTTGCAGTCTGGGCACTGGGGCTCAAAAAGGTTCGCCATCACTGGGCTAGAGCATTGGCAGAATTTTTAGGTTTTTTTCTCTCATAAATGGAAACATAGTATACTCGGTTCATTCAACAGTCTACTCAGAAGCTGGTTAGACCATTTGTACCAGCTTTGTTCAAAAACTGAATTCTAGATCACTTTATTGTTGGTTTTGTGTTGCAATTTGGGCACTGGGGCTCAAAAAGGTTCGCCATCACTGGGCTAGAGCATTGGCAGAATTTTTAGGTTTTTTTCTCTCATAAATGGAAACATAGTATACTCGGTTCATTCAACAGTCTACTCAGAAGCTGGTTAGACCATTTGTACCAGCTTTGTTCAAAAACTGAATTCTAGATCACTTTGAACCTCAGCCATTAATAACATCCAAAGGTTTTAGAATAAAGCATAGGAAAGTAGACTTCCCAACCAGTATGTGAATGCCAATAGCTATTTTAACTCAGCTATTGAGAGTGCAAATATTTAGCCCTGTGTTGGTATAGTAAGAAATAGTTGCACATTTCAACACGCTTAAGCATGGAAACAGCCACTCTCTTGGTTACTCTCATTTTCATTCAATCCTGTTCTGGTAGCTTATTTATTCTATTTATTCTGAGCGCTCTCTGTTTTGTTTTTTAATCAACATGGTTGCATCCATGGGAAAGTTAATCTCTTAAACCAAATGCTGAGATTTGCCTTTATTTAGTTTTACATTTTTCCAATGATTTCTCTGGCTGGTTTAATTCCAGTAGTGAACTTTATAATTTTTTTTGCTTTAGCTTATGTTTCAAGAGGTGCAATTTTCCTTTGTACGTGATAAGATGTAATGCTAGTTTAGCAAGTAAAGTCAAGAAGCTTTGCCAGTAAAATCAAACATCCTTAGTGGTGAAGCAGGAATTGAGACTCTTGTCAGCCTCTTGTTCTGGAAGGAGAAGGATGATTTGGAGGAAAGGAATATTAAGCCTTTTTGTGTCACTCATTTTGCAAACATGTGCTTAATCGCTTGGGGAGATGTTTATCTTTTGACCTTGCTTCAGAAAATGTAATACCTTTGATTTTTTTTTCTTGTGTCTAGGTCAGGTTATTTGCCCTCAGATGGGAGGAGGCCCAGAACTATCCGGTGATAAAGCTGCTCTTTCTGCACAGGAACCCAACAGCCAGGCTCCTTTAAAATCCATGTTGGTGATAAGTGGAGGAGAAGGGTACATTGACTTCAGGATGGGTATGTTCCTTAATATTGCTAAATGGCCCTGTGTTGTAATGCTAATCAAATGCTGAAGAATAGATGTATCATTCCTTTGTTTTCTTCCCGTGAGTTTCAAGGATGCTTTATTTTCAGGAAGTTTCCTTAAATTCCTTCTAAATATATTTTTGTATTCTTTCTTGCTGCTGGTTTGTTCAGTTTACATCACATTTTCCACTGGTCACTTTACAGCAATGTACATGGCTCTCCACTTCCCACTTTATCCTCACAATAAGGCTGTGAAGTAAATCCAGCTGATGTGAGTCTAGAGGTCACCCAGTGGATTTCATGGCCAAATGGATGATCTGGACACAGCCCTCTCACTTCTTAGTGTAACATGTTAACCAATACATTACACTAGCTCTTGATTTTCTGTAGAAAACCGATTGTCGATTGTTGTCCCTTTAATAATAATTATTTGCTTCCAAGTCAATTCTGACTCACAGTGATCCTTGGCTGGGTTTTCTAGGTGCACAGCACTCAGAAGTTGTTTACCATTCTGTTATCATTTTGGGGGCATTCTGGGACTGTGCCATTTCCCCAGGATTACACAGGCTGCCTTTTCTCTCAGGTGGCAAAATGGGGAATCAGACTCCCAACCCCTGGCTAGGCAGCCAGTTTTTTCTCAAAAAGACTAAAAGTAAAAAAAAATTGCCTTCAGCCTGCTGGGCATGTTCTTGAGTGTGGAAGAAGTGAAGTTCAGAAATTGGTTATATGTTATTATTAATTCCATTATATAATGTGTCTCATTTCCTCCCCATAGCTCAGGGATCTCCAAACTACGACCCGCAGGCCACAACCGGCCTGCATTACCACTATTATTAATTCAATTATATAATGTGTCTCATTTCCTCCCTATAGCTCAGGGGTCTCCAAACTACGGCCCGCAGGCCACAACCGGCCTGCATTACCATTTTGTCTGGCCTGTTCTCTTCAGCCCATTTGCGCAGGGGAGGGCATCCATCCATGTGGGGGGGGTGTGCATGCGTGCGCGCGCATCCATGCAGGGGGGTCCATGTGTACGTGAGGGCATCTGTGCGTGCATGCGGTGTGTGTGTGTGCATCCATGTATATACACACACACACACATTCCTGTTCCTTCGGCTCAAGAACTTTGAAAATATCTGGTGTGGCCCTCACTGTAAAACGTTTGGAGATCCCTGATATAGCTACTAGGCAGCCAATTTTTTCTCCAAAAGACTAAAAGTAAAAAAAAAAATTGCCTTCAGCCTGCTGGACGTGTGCTTGAGTGTGGAAGAAGTGAAGTTCAGAAATTGGTTATATGCTATTATTAATTCAATTATATAATGTGTCTCATTTCCTCCCTATAGCTCAGGGGTCTCCAAACTACGGCCCGCAGGCCACAACCGGCCTGCATTACCATTTTGTCTGGCCTGTTCTCTTCAGCCCATTTTGCC